CCCCCCCCCCCCCCCCGCGCCCGGGGCGCCCATGTTCGTATATATCAGTGTTTTGGCGTTACGTATTTACCGAGAAGTTAATTAAGATATCCTCAGTAGCTTTGGCACAATCACTTCGCTTACGACTGTCCCTAGTAACTCGGCGTGACAAGCTGATTCCGGCTGGCAAGGTTGTTGTGGCTTTTCACGGACACGCAGTTCAACATTCCGTGCAACTTTGCGCATGGCAAAAGTTTAGCCTGTGTCAGCATTCAGAATTAGCACTGTCGACTTGATTTTTTGCCATTTCGTCAGTTTGCCGGTTTCAAGTCCCACTTTTCACCTTTCCAAACAAAAGCCTAGTAGGAGCCAATTTGTTTCAATAGCATGTGTTTGATAAAACGGGTGATGATACTCTATGGAATAAACGTTGATTCGGGAGAAAAGAAATGTCTTGTCGAGAATTTTAAAAGGAAAATGCTGGGAATCAGGAGATTCGAAATTTTCTAAAGGAATCATTCCAGAGACACATTCAGATTGCATTTAACAAGATAGCGGTAAGTCTAATTAGTACAACAAATTATCCTGCTATCAGAAAAATGTGTGTCTTTTAATATTTGAACTTCCCTGTGTTGGCTTTGCTAAACGGAAACAAGGCGGAATGTTTTCAAACGGAAATGAACTCGACAGACCAAAGGCCGGCTATTAAGAGATAAACTGGTCGCACCACAAGAATACGAGCAATGCGTCAATATTTACCGTGGTTATGAATTCCAACCAAACAACACAGCTTCCTCGATTTTTCGGCTACTGTTGAAATGTCAGTCGTGCTGAGAGCTAAGCTTGTGTTTTCCTTCCTCGAAGACAGTACCCATATTGTTAACTTTCAGGAGCCGTACTTTCTATTAATTAAGCGATTTCCACATCCCATGGAGAGTAAACGTAGAAACCTGTTTACCGTCCGATTTTATTTTCAGAGGGGGGTGAATACGGGTACATAAATCCGCCGATCCGTGCTATTTTTTCGCCAAATCCGCGGATCCGCCAATATTTTCGTTCAAATCCGGAACCGCATTTTTTGAAAACTTTCTGTGGCATGGTTTCACTGCAAGAGTAGTATGTAAGACTATTTTTTCCCTCCCCCGTTTGGGGTATGTGCGTACAAAAATGTGCGGCACCAAAGTCCGTGGTTTTTGAGCCTTTTGGTCTGACCGGAGGACATCGCAGTATTTTGGAAATTATGGGACGATACCTCAATTCCTAATGTTAAGACAATGGATAACTGATCAAACAGATTTGCCACTTGGTTTTGTGTGAGAAAGAAACAGAGGTGTAAAAGTTCCTCGGTAAATAAACTGCTAAATGTGGATGCCATTGTCAAGTTCGCAAAAACTGTACAGAATTCAACATACTGGATGAGGATCACACAATTCCAACAACAACGTCAAGCCGGAGGGTTTAAATAACTGAGTTTCGTCCGGAAAAAGAAATAAAGTCGATGAAACTTGAACGTACCGACCAAAGATCTATGATCACATCTTCGTTTAGGATCCATGATCCGAACTTCAAGAGATGTAGAGTCCGGAATCCGCGCTGAAATTCACAGCTGATCCACGATCCTGCGTTTTTTAGAAATCGGCGAATCTGCTCAATTTATCGCGAAAGTTCGCAATGCGTGCGCTTTTAAAGGCCAAATCCGTCGATCCGCAAACCTATTCACCCCCCTCTTTACACTTGCCTAAGGCTAGTCTAATATATTCAAAACTGCATCTGCATGCATACGCTTAAAGATTTCTCGGCGTGAAATTCTGCAGCCGCCTCCCCGCGACGTAGCTTTTTGCAGTAGCCAGTAGGTGCTTTTGAATTTTAGGGACTACAACTTCTATTCCAATATTAAAGCAATAGCGTAGTGTTTTTAAAAGTGTGGTTTGTTCTTGAGCAAAATATTCACATAAACGATATTTGATCAGCACACCTCAGGCCAATTAAATCCTGCTGAAAACAAACTTAAAATGTTCTCAGAAAGTCTGTAGGCGAACAGCCGTCGACGGATGGACTGCAGAGCCTCGCTGGACATGAAGCGAGAACGATTTCCCGAAATATTTTCTCAGTATATCCTTTAGGGATTTTCCCATATCAAAAAAACTTTCAAATGCGTGTTTTACAGAGTCAAATTCATTAAATAAATGTTCTTACGACAAACGCTACGTTAAAAGGGGTTTGTGTGTTGATAAATAGGTTATAAGGTCTTCCGTCCTGAAAGAAATAGTGCCGGTATTTGCTAATTATAATTATAAATGTCTCTTAGGTTAAGCTCTTGCCATCCAGGATGATTTATGTACTGCTGAAATCCGGGAAACAGAAATAGTAGAGATTATTACACTTCAACCGGAAGTCATTTCGAGTTCTTAAACTCTCCAAACTAATTTCGCGGCAAAATAACATTGTTTACTAAAATCGGAGGCAACGTGAAGAATTCCAGGCCAATGGCTGAACACAATGGAACATTGAGACAGAAATTCACGCAGCCCCGGGTATTTCCTCTAGAACACGTCGTATTTCATTGCAAAGGTACCGCAAATTAGTCGCTCTCGTTTTATCTGTCATCAATCTTTCTGGATAATTCACACAATTACCAAGAGGTTCTTCTATGAGTGGCAATGTACTAGGTAAGCGCCTTCCCATTGGCTGATCCTCGACTCGATCACGGATTCCAAGGCTTGATAAGCGCATTATCGACGGCTCGGCGGGTCTATAAAGCATCGTATTCACCCTGTCAGAAGGTCATTTTGTATCCATTTGTAGTCATTATCTAGCTCGTTGGGTGTTAACGTTATAGCGACCATCGGAGGCCATCATCTTTCGTTTTCTTAAACTTGTCTATGTGAACATCAAAAGTCTGCAAGAAAATTAAAACCTCACCTATTTAAAGTATTCGACAAAGGTAAGCTTCGTTCTGTCACGTTTTGGTGCAGGTCAGCTCTTAACACGCGGTCTCCGCGTGGCCCTGGCACCGATTAGAAACGTGCTCATTGCAAGGTGATCTTATCGAAATTAACGCCTTCCATACCTTCTGTTTTCCACCTGTTAGGTCTGTCGAGTTTACATCCGCAAAAATGCGAGTAAACCTCATCTTCGCGTTTTTACTGGTGATGGAATTAGCCAACGTAGCATCATGCGGCAAGAAGCTTTCAGGACCAAGGAGATCCCGTAACTCATTTACACTGGTAAGATACTTGTACATTTTGCGTTATTCTTCACTTAAAAATTTAACAAACTTCAGCAAAGACTAAAAAAGCTTTGTAAAGGTCAAAACTATGTACTAAGAAATGAATCATTAGAAACATGACAAACGCAAGAGGCATATCTTGACCCCCCGTTACCACAAACAAATTTCATATTTCCCCCATGTCCGCACGATATAGTCACACTCAAAAAATGTGAGAAATTGTTCTAATGAAAATGCGAACATTGTGGTCGGAAATAAAAAGGTAAACAAATTGTAGTCTTTCAGTTTATTTATAGAAATCGCGAGAGCAAAAAGTAAGGAAAAGAGACATTTTTTGCAAGGCTACATGGTTTTTATCAAGCTTAGTACAAAAGAATGCCTGGACTTTTTACTTGTGTTAGAACAACGACAACTGACACGACAAATTGTTTCCGCGGTGAACTTTCAACGCACAGTAAAAAAATTCCCGTTTGGTTTTCCTTAATTTAGACGGAATAACTATCCAGCTGTGTTGTGGACGGTTTTCTTTTTTTTTTTTTTTTTTTTCCAAAGCGTCACAACTTGGCAAAGTGACAGAAGCATGCTTAGTTTAGAGGCGGGCGGCGATAGATGTTCCTTTGCTGGCATGTGTCAATCGCATTCCTGACTCCTCCCCATCAATTAGGAATACAATCACCAACTTAATTGAACCCTTATTGTTAATTACTTGGGCGGGGCCTAAAAAGAACCTGTGGGGTTGAATTGTACATTTACTAATTTCAATTTTGCAGCGCCTCAAATATTTTCATAACCAATTCTGTGGCTTCCTTTCGCAGAACGATTAACTTCGTACGAACGTGGCGCGTGGGTTGTGGCAAAAAAGGTAGCTTTCGCGAAGTTTTCAGCAGATGTAGGGTTCCGTATTTCAACGCCGCTGGTATCCTGACATTTGCATATCGTATGAAAACTGCCAGGGCCATTGGCACACGGCTCAAATTGATCCCCAAATAAATACATTCGAGAAATCGATGGTATCATCGCGACCTTCACCCTAAAGGGAAATACCAATATTATATTTCTTAATTCTCCGACCTCCCGTGCTACACGGGTTACCCATAAATTAAGCGCCACGTTGGTTTTCAGCCAGTTTCTTTTGAACATCGTTTGTGGCGCGATGGTTGAACTTCAAGCTTTGGGCGGTGCTCGCTCTCTGTTCTTTGGTGTAGTCGCCTTTCTGGTTTGCCTCCAAATTACGAAAGTTTCCCCCGCTGGGAGTTCATCTGGAGTGTTGTCTACCCAAACATCCCAGGACAGTAAAGGAAAAACCAAGGATATACCTGCGAGCCTCGAGAATTCAAACGTAAGATATTCTCCCTGTTTGGGCTATTCTTAAAGGACTGCCTGATGAAATACTTAAGTTTCTGACCAACATATGGTAGGCATGCATACGTGAGGGACTTTCCTTTCCCACGCCCCAGTGTTCGCCAACTCAAACAATTCGATTCGTTGTCAACGAATGGCGAGCAAGTCTGCTGGGATTCTCGCAGTGGGGTGTCTCCTAGCTCTGAGAACTCTTGAAAACACGAGTCATTGACGTGAAGATAAAGGGCTGGGATCGTATTGGATAGAAGCGAACATTTTTTTGCATCAAAATTTTGGAGCTCGTTGAATGCCTTTTTCGCACGAACACCGTGCAGAGAATTCTATTTTTGGACACAAAAGAACCTGCGATAGATAAGCGAGCATTAATTGCAACTTTATGTTTTCGTTGTTCCTAATTTCGTAGTCAGCGGGAAGGTTTTAAACCAAAGATAAAACAGAAACATTTTGAAACCGGCGTTTATCTCCAGTCGGTCTCGTTTTCCGAACGCGGGGTTCCATCAGTTCGGTACATTCAGCGCGGCCTCTTGACATGCGTTTAGACCGGCTGCAATTCGGTCAGAGGTTTTCGCTTTAGAATTATGACACGCACATATAAAGTTATCGTTTACGATACATTAGAGTTGAAGACGGACAAAATTCTTTAAGTGTAACTACGCTTCTAATTTCTCTTTAGCTGAGGAGATATCACCGCATTTCGACAAAAGTGAAACTAAAGTAGATAAGCCATATCATTTAACTCTTCTAAGTCATTTGTTTTTTAGGTTTCCAGCCAACAATTTCAAAATTCACAGCAGAGTTCAATCTTGCTGTCAAATCTGGAAAAACATGTTCACGATTAACGAATGCTAGATAGTTGTTGTAAAAACAGGTAATTAAAGATTTAGAACCGCTGATTGATTGTACAGGAGCCCGTGCCACGTTTATTTAAGTCGATGACATTTTCGATTCTAGGTTATCGCTTGTAGAGCGTGTCATATAATCTAATCTAAACCGTTTCACGTCTTAAAACAGAGGTCTTAACCTTTGGGGAAAACTTTCTGAAAAGCGCTGAGCAGACCGACTTTAATTGACTGAGGAAGTTAGGCAAAAATCCAGTACATTTCTACAAATCGTCTCTTTGCATAACATTATACGATGCGTCCAAAATATCTTTTTTGTCAGCCGAACTTCCATACAAGGGAATTTTTCTGCATGTTTTCTGAATTTCTTGCTCGAAATTCCAAGCGCATTCTTTTGTAATTTATCTTGCTAAGCTGGAGATGAAAGGCTATTTGTTAGCTTTCAGAAGCCCATAACTCAAAACTAGTTTAGTTTGACGCAGATTAAAAGATCGATAAGTGCTCTGAGAGGGTGCTGTTAACGCAATTTATGTTAGGACGTTACTTTTCGCTCAAATAAAGTAGCGTCGTTGATCATTTATTGCAAGGCTGGCTATTACATAATTTATACGTTCTTGTGGACCGGTTTGTGATGTTACAAGATCCAAATTTGAAAATTCCGAGCACCAGACATATTATTTACGTGGGTTACAACGTTTAAAAAACGGCGCGCATACAAAACCGCTGATAGATTCTAGGAGCTTTTGCGTAGAGTCTTGTGGACGGATTTAAAATCCCGCTTAGCTTTTAATAGCGAGGTCAACACTATTGCATAGTTCTTGACTAAGGACAAAACTCCTTAATTGTCTTAATTAAGAAGATTTGTGCAAATAAAATGTCGGCGGATAATTAATTGAGTTTGCATGTAGCCACATTCTGATTTTTGAGGCTGCTAAGTACACGTTCTTGAACTAGAAGGCTTTTTTTAGACCGAAAACATTGAGTTTCAATAAATCAAGCTAGCCATCGATAAATGATACATTCTCAAGGCATGGCGACCCAAGTCGTGAACTGATGTGGCTAATGTGGTTTTGATGCGGTGCACCCGGAGGCCATTCTTGTTACGTTTTTCCTGACTGGTTACGTTTCATGTTTTTTTGTTTGTTTTGTTTGTTTTGTTTTGTTTTTGTTTTTGTTTTTTTTTTTTATGTAAACCGGTTTTTCTACCTTAAACCAACGCTCTGCTCATGTAATAAGTGTAATTTGACTACTATCAGCTTTCGAGTTTTCGAAGGCATAAGGTCCAAAAACCATGGTACAATAGCATTTTATGGCTGACATCTTTCATCGGTTTTATAAATTTGGTCTGCTATATTTTTGACAATAATTTAATATTATGTTTTCAATTTGATAAATACCTGCGTCACTGTGTCTGCTGTCTACTTTTCAAATCCATGCCTGTATGTTCCGCTTGTTGTCATTCAACACTAGCCAAACTTATCCAAAGTCCGCCCTTCGCCATTTGCGCGCACTGCACTCCTACGATGGGGAGAAGGGGGTGAAGTGGGTGTATGTAATGGACGTCTCTTTGAACCTTCGTGCTTTTCCATCCAAAAGATATGATTTTGACTATCCTTCTTTGATCTGCTCCCCCCCCCCCAGTGAGTGGAGTGCTTATCCAGACTAGATAAGACGCCAAATAAAACCTAAAAAAATAATAACAATAACAATAATAATAATAATAATAATAATAATAATAATAATAATAATAATAATAATATTATTAACAAAGTCAGAGATCAAGAATGTACTCAACAAGCGTAACTGTATGAATGACAATGCAAAGATTTGTTTTTAACTTTTCTCTTAGTTAAATGTCTGCATCCCTTCGTTCCAAGTTGAAATGCCCATATATAGTGGGGTACATTTTACAAGACGATATATCTAGTTATATCAACATTACCATTTAAATTGCAAAGTTATTTAACCAAAAATAACAAAGTGATTCAACCAAAACGCAAGCAAGTCTATTAAAAATGTTTTTACTATTGGGCATAAATATCTAAGCTTATTACACCAAACTGAAATTCCACCTTGTAATATTAATTTGACAACTGTTGCATCGCTGCCGAATTGAACAGCTTTTAACTGCTCGACAATTGCAAAGCGTTTTTGCCTTGGAGGTGATTAATTTGGGCTGAAAGACTCGATTAACTTGTTTTTAAATGCCTCCAGAATGAGATACATCGGTTCGGTTTCCCAGGAGACCAAAATAATCAACGCCAAGTTAAAGGGCTTTTAAGGCAACGAGTTGTAAATGGACGAAACATTGAAAAAACCACTTGGACAGTTTCCAATGTTTAAACATTACAATGGTTTTTAACAGCAACGAGTCAAAGTCTAAGCGGATCCATAATACGAACTCTATTTGTTTTAGACAATAACATTTCAACGAAGCCACACTTTGTCATCTGTAATGTTAATAAACCGCTGAATTAAACATAGGCTGCAAAAATAATAACGCTTCCCGAATGTGTATCACACACGCAACGCCTATGACAAAACCAAGGACTGGCACTAAAGCTAAATCCCTTAAAATATTCTCTTTTCTTTAAAACATAATTCTCCGTTGGAACCTACTGGGAAACATTGAAGGGGTATCGGTGACTGCATGGTTCCCTTTGAGAAGTCAAGTGAAATCAACGGTATGTATTTAAACGAGACAAAACACCCTCTGAATAATGCGTCAGATAAACTTATTAAACAGACTTTGACAACACGATGCAATTTCCCTTTAGGGCAAAAAACACCGTAATTGTTCTGTTTGTCTTGAAAATAAAAAGAGCCGCTAATTTACATTCTAGGTCGGGGTTATTTCTAAAAGGTAACCTAAGGAAACAATTTTTGGGAAAAAGTCACAAGACTGAAACCATTGGTTGCTAGTCGAGAAAACATACGACAACGGCATACAATTCACTTGTCTTTTGTTGAAGGAAGGCGACTAAAAAGCACTCCCGGATTGATTTACACATCAAAATCGCTCATCAGCAGTTGCTGTTCCAAAACAGGATAATAAAGGCGGTATAGAACACTGAACAGAGGAGAAAACGAGTGACAACAACAACAAGCAGTGTGTCTAAAATATATCATGCCCACAAACACAAAAATCAAACAGAGAACCATTTGCTAGAAAACATAATAAAGTAATCAACCGATAAATCTAGAAAGAGAGAGCGTTCACATTTTCGTCGGTGAAAGAAAACGCCCTGTTGACTTTGGGTGGACCGAACAAGTTACTTCAATAAAGTAGAAAGCCCGGTTAACGCGCGAGCCAAAATTAAACATTTATTTACGTTTTCGTGAAAGTTCGACTCAAATTACATTGTCCGCCAAGTATGAAGGGAAAAAAATTCATCTCTCCTAACGGCTCGCTCAGGGAACTAATCAGAACTGTTCTTGGAACAGTTTGACATTAAAACACGGTATATTCGCCTTGTTTGTCACTGACGCGGAGAGAAAAACAAAATTACATTATTTACCCTCGGCAGTGTTTGAAAAGGCTAGTGGGGCCGAGCAAACAACTAGAACAAATAATTCAAATTGAACATAACATTGTTCAGAAAGCACAGATCGTTCACTCGGCTGAAATTCGAAATGACGTTGAAGAGGTTCTTTAAACAACAACAAGAACAAAAAATCAGACGGTACACCTAGAAGAAAAATGTTTCTTGGACTTTATAGTTGTACAGGAAAAATGTTTTCATTGGTAGCAGCTGTTTTAAGTTACGCTACGTACTCGTTACCCAGTCCGACAGCGTTTCCTCCAACAGTAGCAAGCGATGCAAATTAAAATGTCGCGTCAACGTTGAATTTAAATCTGACATAGTCGAATTAACACAATAATACCAGTCGAAGGTAAATTGGTTCTGCTCTCGTGTACGAATACGCGAGGGAATATCACCAACAACTGTATTTTCTTTGCCTAAGAGTCACTGAGCGCTTTTCCATTGGAACAAAAATTCCGGTTTGAATTCCCGTACCATTTGTTCCCGTTTCGGTAGTTCGGGAATTTTTCGAACAAACCACAAGATGTATCGATGGTTACACATACCCCACATCTCTGAAGCTGCCTGTTAAGGTTTGTTGAAATGTGAGGAGAAAATACGTCCAGATCAAACGGGTCCACGCAGCTTTCCAGAGTGTCCGTAACTTGGTCAAGGCGGTCTGGAAACTCAGAACGCTCGTTTTCACCACGCCCCATGAGAATGGACATAATGAATTTCAGGTCGAACAATATCTGCAATGCCTGGTTTTGAGTTAAATTCGACTTGTGTTCCTGGACTAATTTCTCGTGCGTCAATAGAACTCCATGTGATAGGCTCGTGACAAGCTCGTGCAGCAATTTCCTATTTAAAAAAAAACAGACACAAACACTTAAAATAATACGGCATAGGAGACCACTAAATAACGGACCCGATGGAAACAGAAAATCTCTTTACTCTTTCTTGGTCGCTTTTTCACATGAGACCAGTCGTGGTGTGTTTTGTTGTACACCAAACCGAAAATATATCATACAAGTTTCCAGATTTCATTGACTGTCAGTTCGGTCGACTTATCCTGGGTGTATTTTTTGCATGTTTTCTGGTCGTCGGCTTCCGACCCACACGGAGAGATCACCCACGGGTTATTATGGATTGGACGACAGGCAGCGATCATAATCATACATGTAACCAGACCGGGATAAGGCTGCGCTGCAGCTCCCTTTGAATTTTTAAAGGCTAATGACATAAACACAAAAGTAACGAGTCTATATTACAGTTTCCTTTGATGGCTACCTGTCTAAGGCATGCGCCCCAGTTCTGTTGAGTTCTTGGCAAAGACTGAACAGCAAAGATGTTACGTGAGATGAAACCTGTCCGCAAAGTGAAAGAAGCAATTAAAAGAAATACCACCTTCAAACATGATCTGTCAATTCACACAAACTACCTGGGTAGGAACGCTTATAATAGATTCTACTTTCTTCCCTTCCTCTGATTCCTCTTCAATCTTGACCGCTTCCCAATTCTAGACAAAGAAGATATTAATGGATTACTAAGGTACAAAAAGAAAAGAAAAAAAACAACAAAAACAAAAACAAATAAATAAATCAAGGAGTCATCATTCTTCCATCCTTTGAATAGTGATTCACTCATCCTTTTAATAGTGATTCACTCCGCACCCTTTGGATGGTGGTTCATCCATCCTTTAGATAGTGATTCACTCATCTTTTAGATAGTGATTCACTCATCCTTTAGATCGTGATTCACTCATCCTTTAGATAGTGATTCACTCATCCTTTAGATAGTGATTCACTCATCCTTTGGATAGTGATTCATCCATCCTTTAGATAGTGATTCATCCATCTTTTTGATAGTGATTCACTCATCCTTTGGATAGTGATTCATCCATCGTTTTGATAGTGATTCACTCATCCTTTGGATAGTGATTCATCCATCGTTTTGATAGTGATTCCCTCATCCTTTGGATAGCGAATCATCCATCTTTTGGCAAATACGAAAATAGAGGAGCATTAATCCCAGAAGAACAGCGAACATGTTTAGTATGCAAAGAAAATTGCATAGAACACGAACAGCATTTCTTGATGTATTGTCGGGGATATACCACATTAAGACGTGAGCTGCATTAGGGGTGGTGAATGGTAAATGCGAGACTTTGCGAGACGGCGAGACCAGCGCTTTTATTTGCGAGCCCGAGACATATTAACTTTTTTGATTGCGAGACCGAGACTTTAAAGTGTTTTGAGTGCGAGTGCGAGGGGCTCAGACTCTTAAAATTCGAGCCCCAGATTTAGTTGAGAGCTATAAGAATGAACGAGAATGAGCTTGTACAGAAGTCTTACAAAGGAGTCTTTTGTCGTAATTACTTGTGGCTTTAATTACACAGTTCCACAGGGGACAACAGATATTAAGTTCTTCGTGGGTTTCATCATGAGCTATCGTGGGTTGTGTGTGGCTTCTTGATTCCCCTTTTTGCCTTTCAGTCAGCCTTTGCGAACAAGCTGGAACTGGAAATTTGACTATAACACACTATGTTAGGATATCCTAGAATAAAATAACTGTTTTTTGGCGTCAAAATGACGTTGCGGTAAGTTTTGTGGCTTTTTGTTGAATTCAGACAATTTGGCAAAAGTTAGGATTGACTTTTTCTCGGAAATTTGAAAGTTGCTTTATTGAAATTCAATATCAAGTGACGAGAAGACGTCATTTATTACAACAAAAAAACGAATCGGAACTTCGAAACCCTTAACCTTGCAAAAAGTCGAGACTCCGAGAGAGCTTTGTATAAAAATCGAGACTGCGAGACACACACAACCGCTAAAAAAACGAGATGGATGAATAACTATCCAAAGGATGAGTGAATCACAATTTTTGCGAGACCCAGAGTTTTTGAATGACCATTCGCCACCCCTTGGACTCACAGATTCCAAACGCTGACACCCATTACCCCAGTTTAAGTGATAACGAGAAGACGAAGTATTTACTTTGAGCAGAAAACACGGTTACATCTAAAATTATAGGAAAATATATCCATTCAATGTTTTAAAAAAGGAAAGAGATTCTTGGTTCACAAATGTAATAAGTACTATGAATTTTTCGAATTAATTGTATACGGATATAATAATAATAATAATAATAATAATAATAATAATAATAATAATAATAAAACACTGTACGCTTTCCTAGCTTTGTGCTTCACTTTTAGGCTGTTGAAAATTAGTTGAAGGAATCCAAACGACTCACTCCATTCCCTGGTTTAGTTTTGCAAACCTTCCAGCCGTTTCTATAAGTCATTACAGCGACTTGAGGTCTTTTCGGGTTCTTAGCAATTAAGTATATAAACTCCGATAATTACTAAGTCTTACTTGATTCTTAAACAAGATTGGCCACTACAAACATTATGTACAGGAGCTTAAGTTACTCTTTAGTATGTATTGTGGATCTCCTTGCTAATAACAAGAAACGGTGAAGAGTGAGGCATGTAGTCCTTCATATTGCTTCGTTTTTAAGGTAATCCCTCTCCAGTTTTTTTCTGCATCACTCCCGACTTCTTAAACCCCAGAAAGGTCTAGAAATAGTCCATCCTGTAACGCGGAGTTTGCTCATGTTCAAAGTCCAGGCGGCTTTAACTGCCTTTTTTTCATCCACGAAAACATCCAATCAATGTGTGTGATAGCATTATCCGCGGGAGGACTCAATACCACACCTAAAAATAACTTGACAGGTAACAAACTTGAGAATACCCTAAGCCTCTCTTAACTCTGCTACTCTCATGTTAAAGTTTCCCTGTGATCAAATTTTTTTACTCAAAAATGCGACACGGGTTGAAATTATAATAACAATTAGTGTGGAAAATTGCACGAATATAAGAGCCAAAGTTTTTGCTATTCTCCATGCAAATTGCTGTATTAATTGCTATTATAATTTCAACCCGTCTGGTAGTTTTGAATAAATGATGTCATTTACTCCAATTCTCAGCCAAGACTTAGAACAAGAAAAATTAATGGCGGCCGTAAAATAATTCTCGGACATAAAGTTAAAAAAAAAACGTGAGTTCTAATGCTCGTAATCAGGAGCCATATGGCTCCTGTCGTAATAGATTGAAATTTGGCAAGATATCTAGGAAAGACCTATTGTGTACGAAAATGTAAAAAAAAAAAAAACGGATATCGAAAATTTGAGCATAGTGGCATTTTAATAACAATATGTGACTTATTGGTTTCTTTTTAAAGTTGCAGGGTGCTGATAATGGCTCCGATTCCGTGAATCCAGCAGAAAGTTGGAACTTCTTCAGAAAACGAGGTGGCAAAGCAAACAAAGGGAAAAAAGAAAAACACAACAAAGAAAACTCTAAGGTATTGGGAGTCCCGCTGTCCAAGCATTGGCACGTGACCGTGTCGATTTTTGAAATCTTTTCGGCAACCTATCGTTGGATTCTGTTTAGTGAGGCAAAATATTACCCAGAAAGTTTAGAAAGTGTGGGTGATCTACTGAACTTTAACGTTGGAAATGTGAACCACACCAAATCGTGTAAGGTATCCATCATTCAATACAAACGGAATCCATTGAGAATGTGTCAACCCGTTGACGAATGAAAGAATGTGTAACCTTGAACGTGAAAATGTCTTCAAATGTGGATGTGAAAATGATGTTAGTGGTTCTATGATCGTTTCACAAACATAGATTGGCTAGCTTATTACTTGGCCTATTTGATTCTTTGTGTATAATTATTTCTGAATATTTATGACTTCTAGTCGCAGTGTGACCCTAGTCCTGGTCCCCCAGGTCCTCCCGGTCCACCCGGTCCAGTCGGGCCTCCTGGAGCCCAGATCACCGAGGCTACAATGATGGCTGAGTTTAGAAGCATGGTACAGGGTGAGTATCATTCAGTAAAGCGAAACTCTGGTCAGACAAATTTCTTGTAAATAGACTTATGAATAGACAGTATTCCATAGTAAAGGTACCCGTGAATTCAACGCTAGGGACAGGAAATAGTTGATACATGAAACAAATCCCACATTTTCCACTCCTAGCAGCGCACAGGATGTTTGCCCCATAAAACTAATTTAACACCCTCAGTTTCCATAAGTCCTCTGTAGCTCAGTGGTAGAGCATCTGGACTGGTTACCAGAAGGTCTGAGTTTCGACTCCGAACTCTCGGATTTCGTTTTCCGAGGATGCCTCTGTCACTGACAAAAAAATCAAATCCTCGTTAAAAAAAAAGTGTTTCGTTACAGGTTTTTCACACTTAATTAAGAGAAATAACTGCCGACCTCGCGGTCTGGTCTGAACCATAAAAAATCATCTCTAGGCCTGATTATCTAATCCTGTCTATGTTCAAAATGGTTTGTTTATGAGCCCCTTGAGAAAATGTAAGAGTCAAATTACGATTAGTCGTCAAAGCTCTTTTTGACCTGTGAAAGTTATATTAAGTTTTTAGCGTTATTTCTTATTTTCCTTTCAACAGAAAGCGCAAACCGGCGATCAAGGCGAATTGCAGACCAGGTACAGTTAAATCACTGCTATTTGTTGTTGTTCTATGTTATTTTTCTCAGTAGAAGTGAACTAATCGCCAAGAGGAAGTTTTGCTTGATACATAATCGGATTTTCTCAAGCTGTTGCAACAGCAATATAACAAGACCTGAGTCACGTCAGTTCCTCATTTGTCACGTGCTCATCACGAGCTTATCACGTGATATTCTAACAACTCATCTCGGCTAAATGGACCTTCCGAAAAATCTTTGCCAACCTAATATCAGTTCCCTTAACGATCTTGACAAATGTTGTTTTTGTATTTTATTTTTTTAGAATATTAGTCTCATGGCTGCAGGAATCCCAGACCTTTTGTCTGCTCACCATATTGTCCTGCGATATGATGTGACTGTACCAAAGAAATCTCATCAGGAGTTGAAGAACTACAAGCAGCCAGTATGTGGTGATAAACTTTTGTAATAATTTTCTTATGACGTTTTTTAACTCTTACGTTAGCAGGAGTACCTCAGCTAAAAGCTAAAAAGTTTCCCAAAATATTTTGTTTTGCAAAATGATGGAAAACAAACGGCATCCACTGAAGGTAGCGCTCAACGTTAGGGTTTTATCCACAGACCAACTTTTACAACACAACAACAACAACAAAAAACACCTGAAGGGACTGCCTTAAAAAGCCTTCATGAGAGATTGTTCGAGCGCTTGGATACACACGCCTAAAAGTTAAAAAAGAAACCTCGAACTAAGTAAAGGAAAGCTAAGTAGCTTTCATTAAAATTGTCACACCCTAGGATTTTATCCACAAATTCTAAAGTTAGAACCATCTTAAAAAATATCTCAGAAAGCACCACATTAAATTGTTTCTCTATAGTTTTCATTCTAACGAATGCACACTGCGGTTTTCATTAAAAAAAAACAAAAAAACTCGAGTATTTCCAAAATATATGTCATGAATATATGCATGTATTTGACTATTTTCTCTTAGGGTGAACACTCTGGAACGTTTGTGCGTGGAAACGACATAGACCTCCGTTCCGGTCGATACGCCATACGATATACGGGTGTATATCAGCTAACAGCCCAACTGGTGATCTCGCGCGACAGGGAGGCAAATCTGCGCCCGCGGGACTATGTTAAAATCAGTATCTGCATCAGTTCCCTGTGTGAATTAAACACGTGAGTAAATTTTTTGATGCACAGTGGCTACATTATAGGGTTATGTAGCAGCTGTCGTAAGGTCTCACATCATTGGCTCGATACCCTTTAAGGGAACAATAGAAAAAACAACAGAAGAAATACCACTAAGCCCTAAAAAAATAACAGCTGCTACAAAAATAAAAGAATAGCAGCTTACGAGAGCTGCTGCATTGCTGAAATCATCCAATGTCGTAACTCACGCCACTTGGTCATCCAATCAGAATTCAAACCAAAACCGATCGTCGCTCGCTTGCACACGTTTTCCGGCATCTTGCGTCAGTTGTATGTATTCACTTCGAGTTCTGGTTGGTTCGTTGCATTGTCTGTGTCCTTCGTTTGTGACTGAGCTGGTCAGTCAATCAAGTGAACAACGCTTCAACAGGAATGTTGAATATTACAACAGAGAAACAAGTATACTTTATGATGGTCTTGTTTTCACGATTGTTGCTTTTGGAATTACGTAGAAAGCAGAAAAATCATGGAATGAAAGCTTGCAATTTTATTTTCTAGGTCTTTAACTACAATAACAGGAATGGAAAGCAATAGCCTCAAGTTTACAGTCTCAGTGACTGGTATGCTCATGCTCAAGGTAATATACTATAGGCGCAAACGCAAACCTATAGGTTTAAATTTTTTTCACGCGAATTTTCCTTTTTGAGTAACGAGCACTTAGCGAATAGTCAGCGATGAGGAAGCCAATCAGATCCGCGGATTCACTGATAGCCAACGTTCGTGCAAAAGCAACCTCGACCCTGGGAACGAGGTTGGCGCACACGCTTTTGAAAGCTGGAAAGTCTTCAAATACCGTAAATCCTCCAATAGCGCCCGGGGCGCTTATTTCAAATTTAGGAAAAGACAGGGGCGCTTATTTAATTTTTCCCAAATCCTGGCCTAACATGATCATTTTTTTAATACATCATCTGCACGTAAACACCAACATAAGCTGTTTATTGACATAAAAAGCTGATCATAAAGTTTAAATTGCGGCACTGTTAGCAATTAACGTGTTCAAAGTGTTCACTAAACGTGTTCACAAACTGAAACAATGTACAAATCTAATACTACATGACGAAAACTATACACCCTTTGTTGTCTCAATACTCGTCCACAAAATGGGGGG